GATGGGAAATGTGTGGTTAAAAATAAGGAAAAGTTTTTGATCTGCGTGTAATATTATTTTATTGAAAAATGTGTGATTGAAATTATGTCAAATTACTGTTTAAAAATGTATTTTTTTGAAATAATGTGGCTCAAACAGACCCTTAATAGAGAATGTGTAGTTAAAAATAAAAAAAAAATTAAATTCACATACAATATTATTTTAGTAAAGAATCTTTGATGAAAAATACGAGGAAAAAATGTAATTTGAATTAAATAAAAATCAAAAAGGCTTAAAATTTAAATAAAATAATTATTTTATTGAAGTTGAACATATATAATTATGTTATAAGAATAAATTGAATTCACCAAATGACATTGTTACTTTATATAATTTAAAGGAAAAGCACGGTGTTCAATTTTTTATAATTGCATTAAAACCACTAAGATCTATCATTTATTGTTTTGTTAAAACTAATATCAAAACTAAGCAATGTCACAACGGTTGGGTACTCAATATTTCTATGAAATGCTCCCAGGTTCGATTTCCCCCCTTGTTTGTTTATTCTATTTATTATCTAAAATCTTATAACTAAATATTAGAATGAGGTGTTGAAATTTTGAATTTATCTATTATTATTCTATTTTCAATTTTCAACCAATATTAGCTAGTGTAATTTATATATGCTTAACAATCAATAATTCAATTATATTCAACTATCCCTTTCGAGATGAGTCAAACATATTCTTCAAAGCACGATCAGATACTATCCCTATCTCGAATTCATATACAAAATAATGAATTCAATTACATGATTAGCTTTATGATTGCATGCATCATAAATGTCGTTTATAACATCTATTGATCCGCAATGTTGATATTGTAATTTTCTAAACTTATTATGAAGCTCTCGAAAACATATTAAGCAACTAATTACCTAAATGGTGCATAAGCATTTAAGTAATACAACTAGACATAGAAGATTAATTAAGAACACAAATTAACTAGCTAAATGGTCTTTGAATTGAAAATAATCAAATAGAAGTTTTCATTTTTATCCCAACATAAATAAATCTAGCCTGACATTTTTCTAATGAAATTACAACTAGAGTTATGAAAATTCTATTACCCGGAATGTAGAAATACAAGAGGAAGATGTGGGATGTATTTCTTATTCTCGATCTTTAATTGCGAGTCTTGAATCTCCAATCTGTTAATGTTAATTCCCTTCAATTTCTTGATAAACGTATTCTCATCCTCAAAGTACGATACTTGGTGGCCTTCCTTAATTGCAAGATTTGTATATTATGATGATATGAGAGACTCCTTTAATGTTGGCTAATGTTCTCTACATAAGGAGGTTGGAATTAGTTGAAGAATTGCGTCCAAAGTGGTTTTCGAAAGGAGTTTTAGTCATAAAAGTAAAAATCCCCATTAGTCGGAACTACCAAAGACATGCGATCACATCTCTTTTTTAGGTACGATCATAATGGCTAGACATGAATTGCTTTTGCTTGCGAGAAAATTGGGGTTGTGAGTGTGATCACACCCTTTTAACTTGGGGAATTCTCAATTTTGTCCTTAGTTTTGCTCCTTTGTTCATCTTAAGTCATTTCTTCGTGCAATTTTCATCATTTATCTTCTAATTTCATCCAATTGATTCTTTGTCATCTTTAATCATCGTCTCTTGGTCGAGATCACTTTGAATATCTGCAATTTAGTCCCTGAACTTTGAAAATCTTCATTTTTAGCTTTGATCTCATTCTTTCTTTCTAAAATCATTTTTAATCATCGAGTTTTACCTAACAGACAATATATGCAAGAGATTAAATTACAATTCATCAAAAGTACTTCCAAAATAGACCAATCACTGCATTTAAGTCAGGCTGACAAGTCAAAGAGAATCGGGTAATTGGTTCAACATAATATCTGCTTGGTTTGACGATTTTGGCTGGTTCCACTGCCAAACAGTCCGATTGAGCACTCGGGCAAATCATGAAAAACGGTAGTCAATTGTCGGATTGATTCGATCCATTCAATCTGAACTTGTCCAAGTTTAAAACAATACTACTACATAGCCTATTCTTTCTTGAATCAGATTGATCACATGTTGGCATACAAGTGTAAACTGGAATGCAACAAGAAAACAATTTCAAGCAATACTATTTAGCACAAAGTTACGTCATAACATCAGTATAGTTGGTACTAAATAATATTAAATGATAGAATTAATTAAATGAACCATTATTTTTCTTTATTTAATTGAGTATATCATTTAATAACACCAGTATCATAGCACCAACGTTGTAAATAACATTATTCAACAATTTTTGACATCCTGCATATTATCATAATGACAATTTCTACTTATATCTAGTTAATAATTGCGATAAAGGAGGCTGACGAGAGACCCCACAAATGGGGATTATTTAAGTGGGACCCACGACACGTGAAAGACGATCATCCCTTCTATCAACCATTTTCGACTTTTTGATCACTTTAACATTTTCCTAAATAAATAAATAAGTCATTAGAGGAGGTCGTCAAATTAAAGTTGGTTTAGACTGGTCCTAATTTTATTGTGGTTTTTGGACGTGCAATTTTATGGTTCTTCAATTTTCCTAATTTGTCTCCCTTCTCTCTCGAACCCGTTTTCCTTTCACTGGTCCCAACTCTCAACAACTGCAACCCCCAAAAATATTCAGCATAAATATTCTTCAGTTTTCTGCTTTCTGGGGTTCCTTTTTCCTGATTAAGAAGCTGGAAAAACCCTCAGAAAGTACTTTGAAAGATTGATTTCAAGAAAATCGAGGTACGTTATACTCTAATGCCCTATCACATAGTATTCTCTGTGTGAAAGAGGAGGTGGAAGATTTTACCATTCTGAGTTATATATAGGTGAACCAAGAATCTCTATTTGTGCTTTCTTGTTTTCTTTTACTTTAGTACGGATTACACATGCTTTTTTTGCAAATTTAAGCAATCAGATTTAGAATTGGAATTTGCTTTTGATTTCGTTTGGTTAGACAGTGCCCTTGTGTGCAGACACGTTATATGGATGAAGGCATTGCTAAATTGGAATTCCTTGATATTATTTATTTTTTTGGTGGCATTTATGCTAAAAATTGTCAAAATAAGTTAACTAGGATGAGCGAATTAAAACCGAGATCCATTTTTGAGATTGTAGAAGTAAAGGGTTTCAAAAATTGAAATAACAATGAACTTCTTAATAGGCGCTTCAAATCATACTTGGCAGCCTGTCATGTCAACGGATACAACAGCCCCGAGTTACTGGTTGAACTGGAGGTTCTTACTCTGTGCAACATGGATCTTATCAGCCATGGTAATTGCAGCATTTTTAATATGGAGATATGAATGCTGCAATAAATCAAGAAAGGGAGAAAGGGATAATCGCGAGGAAAAGGCGAGGTCCTTGTATAAGAATGAAGTTTGGGGTACATCTTCGAAGGATATACATCCTCTTTGGCTTCTTGCATACAGGATAATTTGCTTCTGTATACTTCTAGCGTTACTTCTTGCTGATGCCATTACCAATAGTGCTGGGATATTTTATTTTTACACTGAGTAAGGCAATTTACCTTCTTAAATGTTAATCTGTTCTGGTTGCTCCCCAATTTTGACGAATGAATAGTTTTCATTTGTATTCTGTGTATCCGTACCATTGAATTGTTGATGGTTTTAGTAATCTTTTAATTGTTATCTTTATATAATAATACATATGTTTGAGCACTGTTGACTTTACCATGAGTACAGATGGGTTTCTGAGTGAATTTTCTAATGAAACAAAGTTCACACCAAGATAATATGTGATAACATGATATTTCGAGTTGTAGTTTATTCGTTCCTAATTAGTTTTGGTGTTAAACAGGTGGACGTTCACTTTGGTCACCATCTATTTTGGGGTATGTTACTCACGCAACAAACTATTTTTTGAGCTCTCTATCTATACCTTTGAACGAAATTTACATAAATGAAATACATACTTTCAAGTTTCATCTCCGTCACCTTTAACTTTTCCTGATTCACTACATATCCGAAATTTGTAACTTGTATGTTTTCTGAAGTATAATGTAATGCTGCCACCTTTCCTATTACAGAAATGAAATTATTGTGATATTCAGTTTGGATTTTGTAGGTTGGATCTTTAATATCTATTCATGGATGTGTCCGCTATTCCCGTGAAGTGGATGGAGAAAGGAATGATGATTCAGATGCAGAGCGAGGCTCTTATGTCGCTCCCTCACTCGAGGATAAGGAAGATTTGCCCAGCATGACAAGAAGCTTGAATCACCAGAGGGAACCTCTTGATTGCAGAACTGCAGATGCTTGGGAATATGCCTTCCAAATACTATTTCAGGCAAGTTTTCTCCTAGATCTATATTTAATCTCTTTTATATATGTTGTCACTCATAGCATGATCTTATTACAGCCTTGAGCCTTCCGTCTTGCATAAAATTTATTATGGTAATAATTTTCTGAGACCCCGATGCATGAAAACATCATGTTCTACTGCAGCTTGCAAAGGAAATCACGTGGCAGAGGAAATTTGAAATCATATTCTGTTTTTTGTTACAAATGCATCCAAATTATAGATGTGAATGGCGTGCATGTATTGTGTTCAAACATCAATTGTATTGATGAAGTCAAGCATTAAGGCATCCGCATTTTTCCGTCATTCTCTTTCTCAGATAGTGCCCTAGTTTAAAATGGGGAGTTGGGGATGATCCCGCCAATTCATTACATACAACTCATTAGCATTTAGGATCTCAGTCTAGAGAAGACACTGGTTTAACGAACCTCTATTCTGTTTTAGTATTTTCTCTACCCATCCTTTATTTTTTATTTTTTAATTTATGTCTGCAGATCTGCGCTGGGGCCGTGACGCTTACTGATTCTGTCTTTTGGCTAATAATATATCCATTTCTCACTGACAAAGATTTCAGATTACATTTTGTAAGTACACTTTTTTTCAGTTTTGTTGGATTAATCTCTTTTTCTTCTCTTGCACACATAATATATTCCGAAAGAAATACTCTCGTTCTCTATAGTTATATTTCTGACGTGATTTCGAACATGTTCTTTCCATGACCCATGACCCATTCAATTGAGTTGACAGTGGAGATCTATAAAATCGGAATTCTTACTTATAGAAGAATTTTTGCTAGTATTGTTTATATATTCTCTTGAATTGCAGCACATGGGAATATTCACAGACATTGTCTCACTTGTATTGCTACACATTAATTACAGCACACAGTAAACAATAATTTTATTGCTGGAGTTGTAAAATTTGTTTAAGGTAAGTAAGACGGTTATATAAAGTCATGCTTCACTTTATCAAGATTTCTGCAACTTATTTTACAAGAGAAAATCTTATAACAGTGCAACAGAGTTTGACAAACGTTGAGTTCATTGCGTAAAAGTGTGAACTTTATACTTGGAAAAACTCTCAGTTGAGATGTCTGCTATTTGATCTTGGCGGATATACAACAAACACTAAGATCACAAAGGTTGTAGAATATATTTACTAGAAATAAGACCAATTAATTATTGGCATGATTCATCAAGATTTCTGCTACTTAACTTTCCTAGAGAAAATCTTGCTCCCTTATCTCTTTCAAAATCCAATGCTTGTGAAGTAGGGCTCCCTTTGATTCCATCCTACATATTGAAATAGTAGAGCAACCTTAGTTCAAACAGTTTATAGGCAAACATTTAGTTAACTTACTGGTATCATAAGAAAAAATAATCGAGTTTTCTTTTTTAACTGAATAGCTAATGTAGATAGAATCAGAAGCCGCTGCTAAAGGCTACATCAAGGTAGAGTGTATAATGATCAGCGTAATTATTTTGGACATAAGAACTCGGAATTTGTTTGTATGTTACTTGTACGTGACATATACTTGTCACTAATTGCACTTTAGAGGTTACACAGGTTCATGGTCTTAGGACATATGAAACAACTATGATCTAGACAATACTTTTGTTCCTTTTAATATTTATTATAAGAGTTTGACTATTTTACTAATTTTCTGCAGCTGGTTGTTTGTATGCACTCTGTCAATGCTGTTTTCCTCCTTGGTGAAACATTTCTAAATCGTCTGGTAAATTGTAGTCTGTTGAGGATGGAATTGCATTTACATTTACAACATATTTGGTATACAAAATTAGGTCGCACTGGACAGTACAATTGACGAAATTTTAGCTTGCTTATCTTCTTTAATACTGTCCAATGCTATCTAGCAATACACTGATGCCAAAATGATGCCTAAAATTATTAATTCCTTGCAGCGATTTCCCTTCTTCCGAATTGCATATTTTGCCTTGTGGACGTGTGTATTTGTCATTTTCCAGTGGATCATCCATGCTTGTATCTCAATGTGGTATGCCTTCTTTTCGTTTTTCTCCCGCAAACTATTGCATCAACGTTGTCGAGGACACATCATCCAGTTGTTCACATGATAAGAAATCTCTAATTGTTACAGGTGGCCTTATTCTTTCCTAGATTTGTCATCTCCATATGCTCCCATATGGTATGTATCATATTTCTCTTGTTCTTTTTATGAAATGATGACTTATATTTTTGTGCATCTCCGAACCAATACTGACTCTTTATTAAGGCAAACTAATGAAAGAAGCTATTCTTTGTTCTTTATGTGAATACTTTAAGATATTTCTAAGTGGATATAGATAGTTACGTTCGGTTCTTGTTGCTTGTGCATGGTTTGTTTTTGCCTCAAAATTTACTTCAAATTTACCTCTAGTTTAAGTAATATATTTACTCTACATCTAGATTATTTTGGCAGTCTTCCAGGTCATTTCTGCTTTGTTTTATTTAATTTCTTCTAAATTATAATAGTTTATTACAATTCTTACC